GTGATCAGTTCATATTTACAGGCTTTTCTGTTTGTTTTTAAACAAGCTATAAAAACATTACATACTTTACAGACAATACAAATACTCAAGTCAAACAAATGGAATGCATAACAATAAGAAATGTCATAAAGGAAGACTGACATAAGTCCTTGATTGTCAAGACACATTTATATTTATATATAAACTCTAGCTGTGCAGAATCAAAGATTCAATCATAGGTACATCCTTATTTGATAAATCATATTTACAGCATGATATTGCATAAAAAAATAAAATAATGTTGTTTACACAATATTACCTTTCCATCCATTGGATTAAGGAAAGCAAGAAACAACTCTTAGAAATGTTTGCTTGCCTCAGTTTGTGTTTCCTACCAAAAGATGTAATTTTAAAAAGGAAACAGAAGGTTTTGTATTTGAGTAGAGCAAAAGCGACTATAAATTTATTTCCCTGACACAAAGCAATTTGAACTTGAACAGAAGGTAAAATTTCAAATTAAAGACATGTCTTTTCATTAGCAGTAATACTTTCTTAGTGCTTGTCCTTTGCAAAGTGAGTTTCAGCTAAATGCATTACATGCCTAACATAAACATGCATTACCCTAAGTCCAATGAACTTTCAAAGTTACAAGGTTTCATTTTAATAAGACATTTAACTCTAGGAAACTGTAAAATTATTCATTTGCTTCAGTACCAACCATGTAATTTGAAAGTTCACATGTGTACTGGTACCGACTGCATAAACATATTTCTGCCTGTTAACATTTCCAAACGGATTCCCAGGAGCATCAGGATTTTCCCTGTGATTTGTAATGGTATTAAAACAAGCAAACAAAGAATAAAAATCAAAGCTCTCAAAGCCAAGAAAATTTAGTTAGCAAATATACATACATAATGTAATCCAATGCTGCAAAATTCAGAGTTCATTCATCCAAATATTCTGGTTCATTTCAAATAGTTACTAGACATGATACAAATTCTATAAAAATATCCTGATCAAGCATGGAATACAACGTGTCTGTTCAGGTGGAAAGTTTTCATAGGAGAACACGAATACTTTGGAATAAACTCCAAAAGTTACAGTAGAACCCCAATAATTTGCAGCAATGCCTTAGAAACCCTTTACAAATTACAATTTTGAAAACGGTGAAGAAGCAGGCAACAAAAGCAAGGATGTCACATCACAAAAAGTACTTTGTTAATTTATTTTGACAACTGCAATTTAGTTTTCAATACTCCTTCTACCTCCTAGTATACTAATAGAGATGCTGTAGTATACTTGGGTGAAGTAGTACAGTATTATTGTGTGAGACCTTGCTACAGTACTTTTTAGACCATTGCAGAGAGGTGGGAAAGGACCATGAGGGATGGAGAAACCTGTCAGATGCTCTGTTTAGAGGTCAGCGAATTAGCAAGATTTTACTGTACTTCTCAATTAACAATGAAAAGCTCCCATCATCCAAAAAAACCAACAAGTACAATATAAAAATAATACAAGTGTTATTCCACATGAATACTTTCTTGTCCTATTTTTTTCTTGAAACACAACTTTCCTAAAGACAACACTAGGAGACACAAGATCATAAACATGGTTCTTTTATCATCCAATTTAAATTGTTTATGCTGTTATTTGTAAACCAACATACAGTAATACACATGGTTAATCCTTCTCCCCAAAACTTGTCATTTATGATTAATTCATTCTCAAATCAAATGAAGAAAATGCAAATGCCTATTAGTATACCATTACAAGCTGATTCCTTCATTGTCTGTTATATTAATGGCAAAACATATCAAAAGATTCATGCTAAAAGGGACACTGTCAAGTAATTTAGGACCAAAATATGGCCTATTAATAAGTGCATGTGTGTATATATATATATGTATTTTGTATATATATATATATATATGTAGAGAGAGAGAGAGCTTGGTAATAAATGTCATCAATTTCTTCTTTTTCAAAATTATCATTGCGCTATCACTAGTAGATATCCCCAAAAATTCCACCTTACACACACACACATATCTGGTGCTCACATAACTTTGGGTAGGAATGGCTGCTGTTAGCTCAGGGGAATCTCCACGCTCACCCCAGCCTTATACTGACAGCATAAGAACAGAACAGACAACCAAAGCTGCTTTTTTTCCACACATACAGAGAAAACTAACAAAAATGACCAGATCAATATGAAGAGTGTGCATCTGCAGCAGATTAAAAGCAGCAAAACGTGAGCAGTGAAAAACGCTTTAAATAATGCCATTATTAAAAAAAGCATGAGCCTTTTACAGAGCTAAACTTCCCAGAACTACATAAACACTTGTTCCAGGATAGAAGGGGATGTACTCAGGAAATCACAGCAGTACATTTGGCTAACTCCTCCAGTGCAGAAAGCTTCAAGCATCAGCAGATCAACTACTCACACCACTGCATCAATTGTACACATGGAAGAACCCTACAGGACAGTCCCTGTGGCTTAGGGGACTTGCCAGCCTGTCCTAAGGCACAGAGTGCAGCTGGAATGGCTCAGCAGCAGGCTAGGGAATGAGCTGGGATGGAAGGAACAGCAGTTCCTCTGGGGATCCTGTTTGGCTGCAGGGAAGAGCAGGTTCCTTCAGTCTGAGCACAGCCTGCTCCCTCACACACCCTGGGAGAGATTCCCGAGTGTGACAGTGGCATGGCACAGCCACTCCCTCCGAGTCCTCAATCACATTCTCACACCACAGTGTCAATGCAGCAACTTTTTTTAAATAAAGCTGAGTCAGTCCCCTTAGGGAGAAGGAGGCTTCATTCCTCTTACCTCCCTATGGGCCCACAGCAGTGCAGTTACACAGTAATAACCCAGCCTTTTTTTTCTCTTTTGTTCCTTGCTATATTTAACAAATAGTACAATTGCCATCTCCTTGCAACATTTCAGGGCATAGGAACAAAAGTGCCAACACTGTATTATTCAGGCACCACAAGCTAGGATGTCATGGAAATGGACACTGAAAACAAAGTATGCCTTACAAGAGGTGGTTTCCTGGGATATAGGGACCCTTTATGTTATTTCTGTGCAACACACAATGGAAAGTCAAAAAACCAAACTGACCATAAAGGAAAAAAAAACCAGAGAGACCACGAATCAGTTTAAAAATATTCTTTCAAAGAAATTTCTTTACATGTATCATTAATAATCCATAAGGAATTTACTCTTCTCCCTTGATGCCCACTCTTTTCAAGTCGTGGCCAAATATTCAGACAAAATTACTGGTAGGTCATAGCATGCTGAAATGCCTTACTGTATTACACACAGGGTCAACAAATCAAAAGAGCCTGCTTTCTTATACAAAAGTATTAAGAAATTAGTTTATATAAACTGTATTCTTGCCAATAGAAGAAGCAGGCTATGGATAATAAATGCCCTTTCTCCCTCAAGTGTACCAAGTGAAGTTAGTGCTGTAGTAGTGCTCCCATAAGGGAAACAACAAACTGGGATCTGTTTCCTGGTAACAAAAATTCAGAAAAATATTGCTACTGCTTTGGTAAGAGGTGGGAAATGTTCTGGGTCCTGTTAAAGTCCTTTCTTAAAAGACAGGATATATTTTAGCCCCTTGAGATGCAGCCTTTTCTCCTACCTGATGGCTTTATCTGAGAGACACTAGCTAGCAACAGTGCTGTAAAAACCTGGATGAAATCCTATTTTAAAAACCACCATACACACACCTACCTATATGTGTATGTGTGTGTATGTGTGTGTGTGTGTGTGTGTTTTTCCCTGGTTAATCAGCCTACATGAGGCTTAAACTGCCTTGAACTACCAGACAGTGTCCCTTTAGGGAAGGTGCAAATAGAATGAACATACAGTTCAAAAATCTGAAACTTGTTAACTTAAACTACACAATAGTTAGGCTACTCAAAATCTTACCACCTTAAAAATGCACACAGAACTACTTATCGTACCATACTGTATACTTCAAGACAAAGTACTATTCAAAAAAACATATTCATGGTACAGGGATAAACTTTGTAGTTTATTTATACTGTGAAATGCAATGAAAACTTCTGATCACTCTCCTAGGCTGGAAAAAGAAATGCCGCTCACTAGCATCATTCACCAGTTTGAGTTGGTAAAATTGTAGTGACTTTTACTAAGCAAACACTAAAAAATAGGGAATTTGAATGCCCACTTCTTCAGCTTTCAGGGATACTTCAATAAAATTAATAATTGGAATTGTCAAAATTCTAGACAGAGAATTAAAACAGTTTTTACAGAAGCTAAAAATACCCAATCTCAAGTATATGGAAAAGAATTACTGGAGCTGCTGTATGAGATGAAAATGATGCAACCGTATCAAACCTAAACATCTAAAAATGGTTTTATTTTTTGAGAAATCAAAAACTATAAAGTTGGCTAAGTGCTCTATGTTAATCGTTATGAGTATGTAGGGTAAGGTACAATTAAGCTTTTAAATCTTGGAATACACTGTTTGTGTAAGCATTTTGCAATTGGGAATGTCATCTACAGAGTATTTTAACTAAAACTTCAAAATCTTGGTTTCTGCATATGAAAAAGTCATTAAAAAGTTACATCTAGATTCAGCTGTACAAAGAAATACACATTACTTCTGGAATGAAGTAAAGGCTTTAGCAGTTAGGCATTTTGCTTAAAAAAGTGTTTAAAGTATTTTAAATTAATTAGACTTTTAAATAGTAGAGTTAGTCTATCAGAATTCACTTTCTTTCCCTCCAAACACAACTCAAGGTAATGTAAAGCAGAAATAAAGGGCACATGGTCTAAAATTATTCAGAGAAACTGAAGATTTTTCTAGAAAATGCTTTCTTTTAAAGCATATTTGTTTGACTTCCAAAACTTACTTGTTTATTCTGTGTGTTTAGTACACGTTGATTCCCTGCTGAAGAGCAACAACTATGCTGACAAGCTTAGAAATGACATTGTGAATAGCATCAGACAAAAAACTGTCCTCCCAAAGCATACAAGGAAACCAGCAAGGAAACAATCATGGGGGAAAGTCTTACCTGGGGATTTTGTTTATTTTAAAATTTCATAGAAGGTAAAATATTTTCTGGATTCAAACAAGTGAATAATAAACTGCCTTTGATAGGGGCACCAACATCAGGCAGTTCAATGACTGATGGCTAACAAACAAATTTTTTTAAAAAAGAAAAAAAGAAAAAAGAAGCAGTTATTGGTCTTGCTAATATCAGCTTACTTCTGTTTTAACATAGCGCTCTTAAAAGCTGTACAGAACTCCATCTTATACAGAGCAACCCCCTTTTGACAAATGTGTTCTAAAGTGCCAGTATTATTTACAAAGATTTCTTAGCCAAAAGTCTGGCCCGTTGTGGCATCAGGTGAAGAAGTCATCCCAGCTCTGCTATCATTTACATTCACCAAGGGAAATTCTGGGAAATCAGCACTTGTCCCTGGTCCCCGAAGGTTCACCTGTCCATTGGCAGTGCTAAACTGAGAGGATATTCCAGCTCTTGCCCCATGGTACTGAGCTCTAAAGGGCTGCTCAAAGGAGCTAATTTGATATGCTTGATGAACAGACTGTGCCTCTGCTTTCTTCTGAGAAGTTACTTGATCCAAGAAGTCCTGTGTAGAGGAGGAAGAAGAATGATTTGCCTCATCACCTGAAAAGGGAAAAGGGTGCTGAGAATCACCAACCATTAGTCCAAAGTGAGACTTGTCTGGAGTTGTTCTTAAAGGAGAGTTCATCCCCGACCGAAAGCTATTGACAGGTATAGATGTGTAGACCTTCTCCATGGAAGGAAATGCTGGCTGGGTTGTAAGTGTCTGGTTATCAGTCACAAAATTAAGGCTCGGGTTGTTCAAATAGGCATCATTTTGGCTAGTTCTGTCCAAAGCTTGCTGTAAAAACTTTGAATATTCTTGTAACATACTAGCTTTATCTGATGAGGAAGCTTGAGAGCTTGTTCCAACCGTCTCAGATGGGGTCACCTCAGATACTTCAGCGGAATTGATGGATATACTAGAGGTCACTTCTGTGTCAGCCACGCTGAAAGAGATCTCATGCTGTCCATTAGCCTTGTGTGAATAATGATCTAACAGAGTTTGCAGTACCTCATCTGGAATGACATTTTTGTCATGGTTACCTTTAATTTCAACATTCAGTGCTTGTGTGTCCAGTATTGAGGCTGTAGCAGTTTCATCAATGACACTGGCCACAGCTGCCTGCGTTACTGAAGGTTGAGATGCTATGGTACTTACATTCAAGGCATATTCTCGACTGTTGTTACTAGCTGCTTGTAGATACCTCTTTTTCTTCAAAAACTGCATTGCATCATCATAATTAGTGCTGCTGTGTACAGGTTTACTGGGCCCTTCCTGTAATGTGTCGACTTGATCAATGTCAGCATTACCTTCAGAGTCCAGTAAACTTTGCTTATCCACAAGATCGAAGGTGTACTTCGAAACCTTGCTGTCTTCATATGTAGATAAAGGTGAAATGGTTTGACTTTGCTCAAGTGGCTGCTTTAGACTCCTCTTGTTGACCTTTTTGAGAACCAGCTTCGGTGGGTGTATTTCTCCAGAATTGGCTTCCTCTAAGTGCGATCCACCGACTGAAGAATGTGGCATCTCAACAGCATATTCCGCTACCATATATTCATCTTTTACTTTAGTACTAGAAGAGTACAAAGGCAAATAGTCATTTTTGTCCTTCTTGTGTTCTGATTTATCTGAACTTTCCTTATCCCCAGATTTTGTTTTCTCTGTTTTCTGCCTTTTCTTCTTTGGCAAGGAGCTGTCTTTCAGAGGCGTAGAGAAACCGGAATCTTCCTCCGATGGCAAAAAGCCAACTTTGGTGGCACTTCTGTTGGGTTTCTTCTCGCGGTTCTCATGGCACATACGTTTGTGTTTCAGCACACGATCAGTCCTGGAGAAATACTGGAAAAGATTATGGTGATGATTATTATTATTATTATTATATTATTATTTTGCAAAAAGAAATATGTTAGCAGAAAGAAAAGAAGCCTTTCATTCTAACGAATTTACTTGATGATTCACCCACTTGACCAATTTCTAATGAAGTGTCAAACAAGAGCATACAGTCAATAAAATCAACCACAGCCAGCTGTGACTCTGCACCACTAAGACAGCCCATCTTGACTGAAAAAACATTCATTATATATTTATGTCAATAAAAAGGAGAAAGCCCATCTGCAATACTGGGGAATTGACCGGTGTTTTGGCTTTCAAGCACAGAAGATTTCACCAATTCATCTTACCTGCAAACAATATTCACACTGGTAAGGCTTCTCTCCACTGTGAGTTCTTTTGTGCCTTTCCATGTGATACTTCTGAATAAACCTCATACCACATTCATCACAACGAAATGGCTTTTCACCTGATAAAAAACACATAGCAATCTTAATCTAAAAGAACAAATCAACATTTTTCCATAAAATTACCAGGTCAAATACTACATTCTCTACTAGAAACAGTAAGAGGATTTAGTCTATTGCTATTTAAAAACACAGGGCTTGCTTACACTATTTTTTTCAATATGCAGTTGCTGATGCCTCAAATTACTTTAAGCTTTTATGCTAAAAAAACCCCTAATTTTAACACTAAATCCTTACTCCTCTTTCTAATGCAGGTGCAGGTATGTCTTACACCTAACAAATTAAGAACTGCAAAGATGGTCTTCCAGAATTGTTGCTACAGTATGCATTTTTTAGAGCAGACAACTGTATAAAAATACCTCAAGCCTCTCACCAAGTCATTACCTCAAACCCATCCTTACTAGGAGAGAATTAATGCATTTCCGAACTTCAAAGGTAACATTTTGGAGGGTGCTCTCTATTTTTCCATTTTTTCCCCTTATTTGCATGTAGAATTGAGAGAACTGCTTTGAAAAAGTCCTACTATTTTGGCTGAAACCCAATTTTTTTTTCTAAGAACTAATTTTAAAAAATGTTTTAATTAAGTCAAAACCCAAGAAACCTCTGCAGCAGAACCAGCATTTGCAAACTTACAGGTTTCTCATTTTGATTGTTTTGTTAGCTAGTTTTGGTTTCTGGGTTTTTTTCTTTACTTTCAGGAAATAGTCATTCAGACAATATGCACTGCCCTGAATTCATCTTCAGTTCCCCTTATTTTTCCTCACAAAGAAACTCTGCAACAATACTTTCTGAGCAGGGAGTAACTATTTTTATTTCTTTTAACTTTTGCCTTACATCTTCCCTCTCATATTTTTTCCTACGTTTCTCTGACAAAACCTAAAAATTTCAAATGCATTGAAAAGTTAGTTCTGCTTTTATAGAAGTTCACTATTATTTACTAGAACTCAGCTTGAACAACAGTGATCTCTCCTCTTAGTATTTACTATGAAATCTTTTGGACTGACATAGAGGTCAGGGATTGTCTTGGCAGCATCTGTCAAGACCCTCTTTGTTCTGGGTACTGCACTGCACTGATTTTTGGGATATGAACCATTTATGTCTTGTTTCCAGAAATATGCAGACTATTGCTATTTTCTGAAGTAGTTTTATTCTTGCTAATTATATTATGAACTGTTGAATTACCAACGATTAATTGTTAGAGTTTAAAACTTTAAATTAATAGATTTTATTATTTAAAATGTTGATAGAGTTTGTATTTTCCATTTAGAGAAATGTTCGTATTTTCCATTTCCAATAGAGAAATTTATCCACATCCCTCTTCATATGGGAATACAGTACCTGAAAATAAGGTTCCAGTATTTATAGAGAACAGAATGGAAAATATCTGGATCACCCACACATGTGCTCCTAGTCAGATCACTAATGCCCAGAGTTTCAACTTCCTTAATTCCAAGCAATTTCTAAATATCTCTCTTTGTAAGCCTATATCCTATTTCAAATTATTAATTCTTACCTCTCCATGTGGCTTCTTAGCCAATCCCTTTCTTGGATGAAATTATTCCAATTTATTCTCTCCTAAATCAAATTATCTCCTCTCCTCAGATCTCTCAGGTTCCATCAGTTCTTCTTCTACAGGCTCACAACCCCAGCATTCTCTTCTTTCACTTAACTTAAAGAACTTTACCATTTCTTGCTTATTAATAAGCACCATAAAATTTTGCACTTTTTTCAACATCCCTTGTAAGTTATAAACACCTATCATATCATTCCCTCTCATCCTGCCTATAAGCAAATCCTCCCTTCTGGCCTATTTCTTCACTTTCAAACTCCAGATTCATTCTTCATGTTCTCTTTATTTGTGAGGCACCCTCAAAACTACAATGCCTTACTCCCAACAAGCCTGTTCAGACTTTCTGAATCAAATTCCAATCCCTGCCTTCCATTTTCAGGATGCTGAGGGAGGACATTTAGAGCTCATTGCTCTTGTTTCATACATGGGAACTCTTCCATTCCTGAAGACTACTACTTAGTCCTTTCTATTTACTGTTTTCTTTCTCTTTACTCCACTATTCTACTTTGTGGTTTTTTTTTTAAATTGCACCTTCAAACAGCTCTCCTTACATTGTTTCAAAGCTTGCTTTCATACTACCTTAGATTTATTTTAGAGAATGGAGTGGCTCTTTAGGTTGAAAACTATCCTGAGCCTTAAAGCAAGAGAGCTGAGTCCTGTTCTGGCCTTGAACAGCCCTCTAAGGAGCCATCCTGCAATCCCAGGAAATGCAGAACTCTTCATTAACACACTTACCTGCAGCCATGCACTCATTTCTGTAAATGAATGCACACTGAGTTCCTTAACATTTTCTTACTCAAGCTGACTATTTGCTAGCAGAAGATTCTGCAGCTACCTATCCCCATTTCAAGGCTTAAACAGGGTCAAACAGGGGCCTGTGGATTTTAGGTGGATTACAGTCACCAGCTATTTTGGAGACTTTCAGGGCACAAACAAATGCACTGCTGGCCATGCCTTAACAGGGAGAAGAATTTGGGACACTGCCCTGGAGTTAACTCAGCACAGTACAGAAAATCATATTTTTCAGCAGAATTCCAGAACACTCTGAAAGTAAGATTAAGAAAACCTTTGTGAAACTGACACCATATTTAATTTTGGCTTTAATCTTCATATGGAAGATAATTTTAGGAAAAGATTAAAAATTAATATGAAGATAGGCTTCCAATAATAATTTCATCCTAGCAGAAGCCTAAAACTTCAGATGCCTTCCACAATTTTGTTGTACTTTTCAGACAGGATCTATTGCAAATGGAGGAGACCATTAATAACAGCCTTTTGATAATGCAGGGAGAATCCAGGACACATTTTTTTGAAATGTCTTGGTCATTGGGAAACAATCAGATGTATAAAAAAACTCAGAATTTAAAAATACAATACAACAATTAATGCATTATTTACGAAAACAGCTCATGCGTTGTGTCTGTGTTTGCAATCTATTAAAACCAAGCCATAGAATTACTCATCCAGTATAGTACAAATATTATGTGTATGAAGGCTGTGACAATTATAAAGCCAGGCATTTTAAAGTCTAAACAGAAAAAAAACCAAATTATAAAATACTAAAGAAAGCTATAAAAAAGCAGCATGACTGAATAAGGCACTTAAATTGTTAGCCCCAATGGTGCTTTATTCTTTTAATGTAATCTTAGTTTTTGTGTTTAAAATGGAAAGTAGGGTGGCTTACACAATTAGGACACATGAACATATGAGTGGGTAAGGTATATAGAAACATCTCTAAGCAAAAAGTAAGCAGACATATTTGAAAGAAAAAAAAAAGAACATTCAGCATCTTCTCTAACCTCGTAAACTGAAAATATTTGCATACCAGTGACTCTTCCCTCTCTTACAACTAAAATAGCAATTTTCTGTATCATTAGGGACAAGTTTAGCAGCAGGGTTCCAACACTGCTGCCCTCCTCTACACACAATTATAAGCAAATTTTGTACTAATGCAATGTCTGCTTTTAGATGCAACTGTTTAATTATTTACACAGACTAAGGCTGTTCATTGATTGCTTCCTAACTCCCTCACAACACTTCCTTTGAAGGAGTGGTTCAGAGAACTAAGTCAAATCAGACTGGAAATAGCTGAGGCACCTGTAAATTGGGGGCTTGTAAGAGGCACAAAATGGGGCTTCTACCTGTTACTACTCTCGTTGGTTGGTCTAAAATAAACTAGAAAATTTGACAAAAATCTTTAAAAGAGTAAGAGCTTTCCTGTTCCACATCAGCATTTTGAACACTGTCCAAAAGCTGGTGCTAAAAGTGGTCATTCACGGAGATAAAAATGGAAAATAAAAAAGTATTGAATAAAGTTAAGAAACTTTTTTTTTTAAGGGTATGAATAATACAAACAGATCTTTACTTTCATCAAAGTAAAGACAGACCCACTGCTCACCTTCTCATTAGAGAATCAAGCAGAAAATTCAAGTTTTCTGGATGGGTTTAGTTATGCAGCCCTGAACAACAGAGCAACTACACAAACAGCTAAGGGCCAGTAGTGAGCACTGTCATATAGAGGTGAAAGCACAGACAGGTATGCAGAGTGCCAATTAGCTATACTATAACTGGGTGAAGCCAAAAATTAAACTCTAGCTAAATTCTTGTTGACTAAACAGCCTTCAGAAAAAAATTCTGCCACTCCTGGAAGCTGGGTTTTAAATGTTTTCTCCTAATCATTACTATCACCTAGGAAAACATCCATGATTCAACAATTTAAACACAATTTAAACTGTCTTCTATTTTCTGAGAAATAACCAAACTATAGCTCAGGATGCTGAGGAAAGGAGGAAACACAGTTATCTAAAAAAAGTCAGATATGGTTAATTAGTTAAATGGTACCTTTTTCTCTGCTAAACAAAGACTAGCATATGAAAGAGCTGGCATAAAAACCTACAATCCCACCACATCCACCCCCCTCCCTCCAAAGCTTAGAATCGACACAGATTTCTCATTAGGGCTAGAAGCTAAATTTTAAAAGATAATTAAATCAATTTATAAAATATTTGCAGTCAAGTGTTAATTAACTATATTGCCCAGACTCTCATTTTCAAAGCCACGTACAGGGAATAATCCTCATTTGAAAAAAAAAAAAAGAAAAATCTTCTAAAAAATGTGAAGACTGCACTCAAATTTTTGCCTTTTTGGGGGGGGCTGGAGGGCAGATAGATGGAAGAGACTGAATGAGCATTCTTTTCAGAATAAGTATCTACACAAAGTGAAGGCAGCATGGTTCACCAATTCAGAGCCAGAGGAAAGACTAGGAGCAGAACAAAGACACTGGACAGAAGAATGGAAGACTCTTCTGTGGCTGACTGGCTGAAGGAAACCTACTTAGTCTGGACTCATGGCAACCTAGGATACAAAAATCCCATAAACAACAGGGCATTTGTGCATGTAACTCCCTGTACACTGCTCTGAAAATTCATTTTGCAGAGTTTTTTCTCCCTCTCAACCCTTACACATGCACACACTGCACTGCGTGTTAGTAGCTTTCATATCCGTTTAAATGCTACAGCCAAGAAACACTGTGCACATTCACCAGCTCTGCTTTTCTGAAAAAGAGGCTGAGAAATTGGCATCTAGTCCAAAAGGGACCATATTACAAAATATTTAAAGAGGGATTGAAAGGCCATGCACCAAAATGCCAAAAACCCAATGAAACCAAACCTGTTAAAGAATGTGGTTCTGTGTGGTGCAACAAGGTAAAAAAAAATAAACATATATAAACTTTAACTTGCTTTGGTTTAAAGCTTCGGGCCTTATTTGACCTACACTGCATATTTTTAAACTAAGACTCTTCTTTTTAGGACAGTTCTGAATTAAACCTAAAAGAAGAAAAAAAGTGGAAAGAAAAGCTGATACTAATACCTTTGGGGTTAGGCATTTTGGCCATTTTAGTCCTGGCACTTTTCCATCAAATTCAAATACAAACAAACAGACAAACAAACAAATAAATCTATGGAAATGTAATTTGGAAGTCCCCCTTGTCTGAATTAACTTGATACAACAAAAGACAGAACTGCTTAACGAACTTTGACTTTTATGAATGTACAAACTTCAGGATTTGCTGCTCTGGGGTTATTTATAGAAAACTACTTTCAGATCCGCTTACTGGACTTCACACTCATTTTACAGCCAAAGGAAAGTGGAACAAGTTGAAAGCACAAAACTAATTTCTTTTAAAAAGCTTTATAACTTTGTAACACGTTTTAAATTAAAACAAACTACGACAGGGTTTTTGGCTGCATATTTATTACCAGAAACCTTGCCTGAGTGGGGAAACAGTTTTTAAGCACGCCAGTAAAGATACTCAAGGCACTATACTCACCAGTATGAATCTTCTCATGCCTCTGTAGCAGGTACTTCTGTATGAAACGCATGTCGCACTGACTGCACTGAAATGGTTTTTCACCTTGAACAATATAATTCCACATCCATAAGTTAATAACTACACACTGTTGTTTCTGATAACTATTTTCGAGGAATATTAAAATGTCTATTAAAAACACCAGCATCTGAGCGAATTCCAAAAATACCCTGATACCAAAAAACATTCGCCTTACTAGGTACATGAACTGCAGAGCTCTCTCCATGATCCTAAGAGTCACATTAAGACTAGCACAGAAGAGTGATCTGGAATGGCTGTAATTTCCTCAAGTGCAAGATCAATCAGGATGCTGGCATAGACTGCATTCAGGATACTGGCAAGCTATTATAACAGTAAGTACCTTTTTCACTTCTCCAAACACAGAGATACCTCATCAGGCAAATAAGCAGCCGCAGCACATTTTACAAAGGGGTCAATTTTTGGCACTTAGGCTACAAGTCAACCCATTACTTTCTGATAAAGAAAGAAAAGAAACCTTGTAAACAGTTAGCTCTTCAGTTTATTAAATATATGTTGATATTTTTTTTCTGATATTCTTTTGACACTTTGGTGCATGGAATCTCTAAGCTTAGATGCCAAGTTAGCTACACTCTTAAAACTGAAATTCGCATAGAGCTGAAAACATTTTTAACATAAGTAAACAACTCTTTATATAGTAGAAAAGACAAATTTGAAGTCAAGCAGTACCTGTATGAATGAAGACATGTCTCTGTAAATGGTAGTTGGTTCTAAAGGCAGCATTGCAATGCTCACAAACATGAGATTTGTGGGTTTTCAGACCAAGTGATCCATCCTCATTTATTGTAAGGATCTATTTTAAAAAGAGTAAAATTTGTTCTCACACTACCCTCTAAAGATGTCTTATTAACTACAAAAAAAAAAAACATTAATTTTTTCGATGCAGAAAATGTAAATATTTCAGGTAAAACAATGCTGATTTCTACAAAACTATGCGTTAAGCTTCTAAAACACATTTCCAATTGCAGTCCAATCCAACTTGTGTCTCGTTGTGCATTAAGAGATATTTCAACAGGACGGAGACAAAGGCAGCTCATGGAAAATCAGCTTAGAGCTTCCCTAGGCACAGCTGAGTCACTTTATACACTACTGTTTATTTTGTCCGTCTGTTGGAAAGGATGCAAAGTAATCAAACCACTCCTGGGCACTAAACCATGGACAATCGTATTTTAAAGAAAAAGCGAATGGTTAAATTCTTTATATCAAATCACAACTCTAAATGTTTGCTAAAAGTCATTAAAGCTTAGCCAGAATAGTCATATATATTATCTACATCTATATAAAACCAGTAGTCTCAAAGGTAAAATTGTATTTAAAAAACCAAAATCCCAAAGCCAAACAACCAAGAGAACAGTATTATTCTTCTCCCCTTTCAGGTTTTTCACTCAATAAAGTATTGCTCACTTAATATACATATTAAAGCATCTCCTTGATGACTTCAACTTGCCATACTCAATTGCTTTGCTGTCAAACAAAGCCGCTATTTTCATATAAAATTTAAAAAACTTAAATTTTAAAAATGCACCACATCTACTTTATTCAATAAAGCTAATCACAGGTTTTCTCTAATTTGTCAAAAAGAATAAAAATAGAAAACTAAACCAAAACCCAAAATCTCTACTATCTCTGGCAAGAGAATAAGCAAATCAGTAAACAAATTACATTTATAAAATCTTGCTTAACTGCAAACACAACTATAAAGAAGAGCTTAAGGAATCTTAAATAATACAGTTTAGTCCCTTCTTATTAAAAAAAAATAAAAGTATGCTGGGAAAACACATCTGCAGTTTGATTAGCTACAGCGTTTTAGTTTTTATGATAATGACAGTGATGAGAAAGAGAGAGTCAATAACTGAAACAGTATCTCTGAAATAGCAGCAAATACTGTAGGATCTACTTAATTTTTAATTCTCCTGCGTCAAAACAAGGGTGAAAGTCTCAGACTAACAAATTCTTGTGCATTCACTCTGAAGGACAAGCACATTCATACGTTTGTAAGATTGGTGTGTTACAGCTCCAGTCACAGAGAGAGACAATTGTAAAGACTCTGTTCTGTAACATTACCCAGCTGATGAAGCCGACTGCGTCTTTAAAACAAATTTAAATACATGTTATGAAATGCTTTTCAGATATTATATTGAAATTTTAACATAATTGTGCAGAAAATACACTTAATTTCATGGTTATTCTAAACCTGGGCTCTTCTACTTAATCTACCACCCTCTTAAATGATGAGAGTTAGCTTTGTCAGAGCAGCTTCCCTAACCAAAGCAACAAAAAAGCTTGTGCGTGTGAGTGTGTGCGCGTGCGTGTGTGTCCGTGTGTGCACGTGTGTGTGTCTGCGTGGGAGAGGGAACAGGAGACAGGAGTCATGACACCTGATGACTTCTTCCTTACCTGACTACTGCATTGATAGAAAACAGAATTTAGAACGTTTCAGAATGTTAACTGACTTCCATTTGTCAGAGTTCCAGCTGCTTGTTTGGATGGAAAATCAACCCCACTACTCTGGAAATACTGAAACTGCAGTAGGTTCTCACCTAGGTCGGTCCTTAGGCTTTTTTTCTACTCTGCCTTTCTACTCTGACAGGTCTGAAAAAGGGGAAGAGAGACTGAAAAAGAACCTATTTAACAATTCTCCTGATCATTTTTCAATCTTTTGTCATCTCAAAAGACTAATCCTGGCAGACTGGGAGATAAAAAGGAAGCATGCAAGTACACGTCTGTAGAAAGAGGAGCACACACCTCTTCTACCTTGCCATGTTTCCATGGAAGTGATCTCTGGATGTACTCAACCTAGATCTCCTTTTTCTCTCACAGGGAGAAGTGACAAAAAAATGCACAGCATTTGGAACTTGCTTCCACACCCAATCTGAAGCAATTTCTCAGCTTTCCAAGAATACTACAGGTGCAACCTTATTTGACAGTGCTTTGAGGAGGACTGGAAGGTCCTGCTCCCAGGGCAACAAAAAGGAGGTTTGGGAGATTTTCTTTGTATTACGGTGAGTTTTCCTTTAATGTACAAACAGTCTGGGTTGATTTCTGAGTAGGCTTATTTTAATGCTGCTGTGTGATAACATATGACTGATTTACTTCTATCAGAGCAGCCTGCACATGTTCTGTTTTAAGTCTGAAGATTAATACTGATTTGGGGAATTACTAGAAGATGTAACACTGCTACCTCATGAGGTGAAATGATTCTGCTTTTATCTGAAGTGCTTCTCAACAGAAGAAAATTGTTTTCAGACATACAGGGATACATAGTCCTCATGAATGGATCTACAAAACAAATTTTTAAGTAACAAACCAGCAGCTAGGGTAAGAACCTTTTGATATAAATAAATACATATATGAAGATGATTATGACCACAGGAATTTTCCCTACCAGTAAATTATTTTATATATATTAGTAAGCTTTTTAGAATTTTCAAAACTACCATTTTAGTTTTCTTTTTAAAAACTTTTCACTACTATGCATGAAGCATATAAAATTATCAGGCTCACAGAAAAGCACAACTATTATTAGATAGATACAGAGTAATGATTTATAAATGGTCTACAAAGCTACTGACTCATAATTTAAAAAAAATATTTGGAGAGAGAACTGCCTGGAGAGACAGATGTTAAAATATGTCAAGAGTTCATGTTGCTAAAAGGAGTTCAAAGAAAAACACTGTTATATCAGTTTTGTTTTGGGTCTCTGGTGAACTTCAGAACTGCATCTTTACTGAGCAAACAAACAATTTCCAGCCTAACTAGTTCAAATGCTAATGAAATTAGTCATAGTCAACCAAATCTTCAGGTCCTTTTAATCTTGGTTTTGCCAAATCAATGTCTTACTTTTGCTGGTGAACGCTGTTTTCTTTTCTTCTTTTTCTGCAAATCTACTGGCTCTCGTATTTGTTTTTTGTCTCGTTTCTGTTGTTCAGATGCATCAGTAAAGGTAATTTCTTGCTTTACACTGATCTGTTAAGATACCAAGTGCCAGTTTCAGGTAAGGTTCTCACTACAGAAAAGCAATTTTTCAATTTTAGAAGATGACAAACTGCTGAAACAGAAAACCTTTTCCTAAGGGAATTATCTTCTGGCTTCACTCTTTCAGAAATTTAAGTGAAAGAATTAATATGTATCTTAAATAAAAAGGGCACAGTTAATTTCCTCAGTAACATTTTGATGTATCCTTTCATTCATCTCCCAAGGTCTTTTTTCCTGACCTGTGGTGATTTTGAGATCAGTTCATATATTAAAATCACTTCCATCTGTAAAACCATTCAGTTTTTCATACCTATTTTGCTTTAGTCCGTGCTGTTGTCAATATAAGATTTAACGGAATAGTTTATTATATATTTAATACAGAAGTATTTTTAAGAGAAAAAAAAAGACCAGTTCCAATGAAGTTTTTGAAAAAAAAAATTAAAAAAAATCTCAATCTAATGTGAACTTTAATGAAGACCATGATACTCTCACATTTTTCTAACACCTGAGCCACCTGATCTACAGCTAACAGAGTAGTGTTTTAACAGTGCTGTGTTTCTGAAGATTATTCTTCATGTGTAAGGCTCTCTACTTTTATAGTCCTGGTGACTGTCCTTTATGTTTGAAGGGTAACAGTGATGGTGTGCTGCATTACAGACAGATGCTCTGTTTTCCAAAGGAAGTCATCTCTATGCTCTCTGGGAAAGCCAAGGTATGCCTTCTATGAGATTCCGTGGAGGGGCATATTTATGGTCATGTATGAAGTGTCACAGTCCAACCTGCAGTGTGAATGCAATTGCTAAGCGTCCACATACCTTAAAAACATACAAGATGCTTCCTATAGCAAAAGCAACTAAACAGTACTATGAACAGCATAAACACTATGCACCTTCTAATAACGCTATTTATTCCGCTTTGCAGTTACCCCTGAACGTTAAATATCCTTAAAGGAGCACATTTTAACACTTTAGTTCTATGGTAACAGCCTGCTTATAAAATATTTATAAAACAGATACTTAAAGATTATACTTAATTGGCAAAATTTATCCACAGCCAGAGGCAAATGACATAAATATTTTGATAATCAAAATCCAAACAAGCAATTAATAGATTCTTGCCAGAGTAGGATTAGACTACCAGATCAAGCTTCCTAGTAATCTCTCCAATATTTCACAAAGAAATTGCTTACAGGGACATTAACAGCATACTGCAGCCCTTGAGGAAGTCTATCTTGTGCATCCATTTCATCATCATTTTTTACCGTCTCCTCATGGACCATGAGTTCATCATGTGAAATCATCTCTTGCTGTCGAAGTTCACTTTCCTGTAACACTTCATCTGTTGCAAGAATTTCTTGGTGCGGCATAGTCCGATCTTGAAGCACTGCCTCTTGCCGTTCTCTCGATACTCCAGACTGGTCAGATACTGCACCCATCCCTACCATAGCCCTGGATGACTGCATCTGGTCTATGCCACCACATTTAAGAAATAATCCTCCCAGCTTGTCTTCAATGTTCATTCTTAAGTGCAATTACCTACAAAGAAAGTTTTAATAGTAAACATCTACAATTGGTGTGCTTGCTTAAAATTTTTTACTTAAAAACATTTTATAAGAACTCAAGTCAGTACTCAACAAACACACATGCAGTCCTAAAATTGATACTGAGTAAGAACCAAGAGTTGGATATCTTCAAGGAATGTCAAAAGACTCTCCCTTTGCACATCTGTGTGCACACAACTGAACACTTTCCAATAAAAGGTTTCAAATCATGCTCCTGACTTCTGGCAAAAGTATGGTAATTAAATGATGGCTAATTCCTCCTTTTCATTCCTTAGAAAACTTTTATTTTTTTTCTGTATGCCCTCTTTGCTCTGTTCTCTTTTTCCATTTTGACTGTCTTTTACAAACACCTCTTTCATACTGGTCCTGTTCTCCCTACTTCCTTGTCCTTCCAGTGCCCTTCCACCGCTGTTACCCCAGGGCACTGTCGCTCCTGGAACACCTTAATATCCACAAGTGAGAGAAACCTGGGCTGCATCCAAAGCAGCAGTTGGGGGAGGTGATTGTGCCCCTCCACTCCACTCTCCTGCGACCCCACCTGCAGTGTTAGCTCTGGGGCCACAACATAAAAAGGACATGGATATGCTGGAGCAAGTCCAGGGGAGGAAAGAAAAATTATCAAAGGGCTAGAACATCTCTGCTATGCCAACAGGATGAGAGAAAAAGAAGGCTCTGGGGAGCCCTGATTGTAGCCTTTCATTACTTAAAAGGGAGCTTTTAAGGTGAAGAAAGAACTTTTTAGCAGAGCCTGTTGAAACAGGACAACAGGTAATGGTTTTGAACCCAGAGATGGTCAAATTAGACTATATACAAGGAAGAATATTGCTACAGTGAGGGTGCTGAAACATTGGCACAAGGTGCCCAGAGAGGTGGTGTACACCCCCTCCAGGAAAACATTCAAGGCCAGGTTGGATGGGACTGAGCAAACCGATTTAAGTGAAGATGTCCCTGCTCATTGCTGGGGGTTGGACTGGATGGCCTTTAAAGTCTCTTCCAACCCAAACTATTCTGTGATTCTATGAAAATATAACTTTGTAGCTAAAGCTGTACATCAAATAAAAACTATAGAGGTCGAAGCTGTTCATAAAACAGGAGCAGGAGCATTAGTGAAGAAATATAAATTCCAAACATGAAAAGCAATACAATTCACAATATTCCAACAAGTATATGACATTATTAATTAGTTTTTAGCACAGAGCAGGAGGCTTTTGTGAAGCTGGAAGTGGCAGCATCTTCTCATTATGCAAGACAGTTCTAGGACTCCTCCTTGGCACACTGGATGTCCAATCAGAGCAGTCAGTCTCCTTCACCCTATTCCCCAGGCCCATAATCCCTACTACCCACTCCTCAGTGCTCCTTGAGACAGACACACCAACAGACAGAGAGACAGACAGACAGACATCCTTCCTCCATCCCTATGTTCCCACAGCCAGAGAGCAGAGGCAATACACACACAGGCCACAGCAGACACAGGGTGGGAGCAGAGGCACAGGGCAGTTGGACAGCACACAGCAGGCCCAGCCAGAGCACCACGTGGGACCTCGGGCAGCATCACAACAGCAGCAGCACCTTTGGTTCTGATGCACTCAGAGTTAGGATACAGGTGTGATGTGGGTACATTGCTACACAGCAGCTTCAAATTCCATCCCCCTGAGTGCAGCATGGAGAAAGGATCCAGCTCCACTCAAGTCTCAAGTCAGAGGCTATGCTGCCTTCCCTGCAGCTCACAATGACTATTCATAACCAAAGAAATCAGGTCTCTCTGCAGGTTATGTCCACAGAAATCGGGTCTCTGCCTAAAACCAGCAGGACCATCACAGCAGAATTGCACCACAACAGCCCCCTGCCAGTCTAACAGGCTGCCAACATGCAAAAACACTCCATCAAACAAATGTACATCACGTGTGTAAATTTCCATTTTCAGTTTCATCCATTTGATCACTTTCTAAATAATTTTCTTCTCCAGGAATATATTTCAAAAACTCTCAGTGTATCTAAACATTTGTGAAGTTTTCTTTATATCAAACTACATCGAGTTTACAAAATAAACAGTGGTTTCTTTTTGGGTGAGATCCTAGATTACTTTGTAGAATTGGAACCACCAGCTGAAAACTCTCATGAGTTTCTCCTACATTGTCCTTTGTTTCAAATATTACTATTGGTTCTTAAGATACTGAAAGTAAAATTAACTCAACTTCTTTAAAAAAAAAAAAAACAACCTCACCACACACCACAACAAATAAAGTAAAAAAGCCAATTCACACATCCTGATGGCAAGTCATGTCTTATAACTCAAAAGTGAAAGAACATTAGTCCCTACTCTGTACCATAAGAGGTTCTAATCTAAACTTCCGAATACATCATAGAAAGGCTGACAGCCAGGATGGTCTGACCTCTCTCAGTTTCAAATACTTAAGAAGCACACCAAAGGAAGAGGCTTCTCAGGCAAATACTTTTTTTATTATTTTTAGTAAGCCTTGCTCTGCTGGAAATCAGGAGGACAGAGTCACCAAGCTACATGTCTTTATATATGACAGTGTCATCAATCTTTTTAGCATTCTTCCTTCCTACATAACAAGACCATTTTAGGGACTAAAACCACTCATGACAGGAGAAGAACATGGAAAAATTCTGTTCAGCACATTTATGTTTGTGATTTGTCCTTTTTTGTTCTCCTGCAATTCTAACACAAGTTTGAAATAATGCTTTTGATTTTCTCAGTATCTGTCTTCAAATACAGACAACAATTTCTTAATGCCTTGAGTGAGCTCAGGTAGTGCTATGTGACAAACTGCCTCTCAAATTAATCCATTTAGAGTAAGAGAATGAGATGTCTTCAAGGGAAAATGTAGGTCTGATATGCCATACAGCCACTTGCAGACATTATATAATCCATGAAGTATTTTTCATAGGTAACTGGGAAACCAAACTGATAGTTTCTCAGCAATGACAAAAACAAACAAACAAAACCTGGCACAGCACTAAGGCTGTATTCTTCCCACCAATGCAGATCTCCCAGACGTCTTGCAACAACATCATAAAAGAAGAAAGTGAGGATTAATTTATCATCTTTTTGGTTTAGAATATCCTGTGCCAAGGGAGAAAGGTGAGATAGAAGTGAAATTCTTAAGATTTGGTAAAAGATGGTGCAAAAGTCCTAAAGCTGAGACTGGTTCTTTTGGTAGAGCATTCTAAATAGCCAGCTTGAAAGAGAGACTTCAAGGAAAATAAAACAAATGTATCTACTCATTTCAGCCTTTATCTGAGCTCAGGGTACATCTCACACAGACTGTCATTCACAATGCTTTTGTTCCACACTACAGAAATATGACAGCATCAGGTCACTGCAGATTCTCCAAAGGAATGACGTGGACAGGTATGAGAATACAAGAACTCAAGATGCTGAAACACATTCAAGGGAGAACAAACAGCATCAAGTGTGAGAACATGGTGGCCCTAATCTGTCTGCTCATGCCACTGGCAAGAACAGCACAGAAGGTTGTATCACATGGAGGACGATACTGCCACATCACTCTGAAATTAGGTAGGAATTGCGGAAATCCTGGATTTAAAGCTACTTCCTGGCAGGAAGTTAGGCAGGCTAAGAAGCTGAGTTAACCACACAGAAGAGCCTGCTGCTCTCACCAGCAGAGGCAGGAAGACTCCTGACATGCCAAACCTTGGGACAGCTGGCGAGATACAGCAGCTTCCCAGAGGACAGGCCAGCTGTGGGCTGGTATTCACGGGTCTGGTTGGCTCCCACAGTTGCAACGGATATGGAAAGTTTCTTTCTCACCCTGACTAGCAGGTTTAGCAGAGTCATGCAACTGAGAGCCCTCAAGTTGTCTTCCAGCCATGATCTTGAGTCATATCAGAAGTGCTGCAGTAAGTGCACTGCTTATTAATCAGGCTTTCAAACAACTGGCTTTTCAAAGAAAAATAGTGAGAACTTATAGTATTAGGCTGCATATGAGAAGTGATGAAAAACAATATAAGTTACATGACTTGCAGGTGATGTTTTAAAACAAAGAGGTAATGTTTTAAAACAAAGAACCACAAACAAAAACAGGCTATTAATCCAAGTAAGAAGCATCCCAAATGCAATTAATTCAGTAAAACACTTGTAATTTGTCAAGTGACACCTTTCGACTCACATAAAAGGAATCCTATCATTTAAATTGAAGATGAGAAGTGTTCTTGGAAGAATGACAGTGTGATAAAGAAATGTTAGTCAAAAACATTCAAACAAGAACACTTTACCAACCTGCAAAGATTAAATATATTTTTAAGTGCAAGATGCATTTGTGAAATAAAGATCAACTTACTTAGAGATTATCTCTAGAGAAGCTACAAAAATGCAAACCACACACACACAAGCAAATTTCTTGGCATAAGACATTGTTATCCCTATTGATGTTTTTCATGGAATTTCAGAAGTTCTATTAAGCTTCACCAAGTAATATCTTGATTTTTCTTATAGTATATAGTTCCTCTATAAACTGACAGAAAAAGAGCTGTCAACAAAACCTTTCAAGAATATGTTTTGCTTGATAGAGGTACTCCATGCATTTACTGTAGGCAAAGCATCTCACAAGAGACATCTACAGGCAGAGCTCCCTGGGGAGGAGAGACAGGAAGGGGAAAGACTGCCCAGAAGAGGTCTCACAGGAGCCTGCCAGCACCTCCTCTTCTCACAGGGCTCTCCCCAGCTGCCTGCAGCACATCCCCAGCCAGCGAAGCACTGCTCAGAAACCGCTGCTCCGCCAGAGCCTCCGGCTGCACTTCACAGCCATTCATTTCAGCAGCCCTGACATCAGCTTTTCCCAAGACTTCTGCACTGACCTGGAGAGCTGAGCAGTAAAGGCAATATTCCTAATTAAAGAAACAACCACTTCAATGAAAACATGCTGCATGAAAAGCATGACAACATTTCAATTCAGAATCAAAAATAAAAATAC